TACAACCTTAGACAAGATCTAGACACAAAATTTTGCCTTTATTATCCTGCTCTTTTGAAACACAATCCAAACCACTTAATTTGCTCTTACCACAAAGCATTATTAAGATAAATAGACTTATTGATGGGATATTGAAAAATATAAGGAAGGGGAAAAACATATATCTCATATCATTGTCTAAATCGTGAAGTTTTTTTTTTTTGATGTTTATGGGTTTTGCAAGAGGGATTAGGAGTTAATCTGTACAGTTTCATCCCTCAGCTGCAAGCCAACTGGCTAAAACTAAAATTAGAAAGAAAATACATTTAGGCAAAAAGAAAGCACAGAGAAAACAAATTTTATGATAGAACCATTTTAACTACCAAATAATCAATCGATGAGATTGTTAGTCTGGTAGCAAATTGCCGGAGTGTGCATGGAACTACTTCAACAACCATATTTCAGTCAATCAGATAGCAAATCTGCTGGGAAACAATAATGCACGTTTCTCTTGAATTTGACAGAGTTTGTATTTTTCTGAAATATATGTATTTCTTGAACAATTAAAATCAAAAGAATCAATACTATGTGGATGTGTTTCTTGTGCTGGACAGGAATGGACTACACAAGACTGAATAGTATTAAGGAGGAGAGACATCCAGTCAAATGTACCAAACATGTTCCATCATTAAAAGTTGAAAATTCATGCCAATTGTTTTCCAAGTGATCAGCAAGCAGATATTAAGTGACACAATTGTAAGATATCACATATACTGATACAAGACTGACAATTGTGCAAAAGATAAAATTGGGCTATGCTGTATGACATACCAGATAATCTTGCTGACGCTTGGACTGTGTTTATAACTGCACCAATTCTCGATCGGCGTTTATCCTTCCTCTTCAAGTAGATGCCAGTTCATGCATTAATTAACAAATAGTGCATGTTTCCTCTAAGGACTCTTCCCAAACCTGAATGCACGTGTGACTCAACAGTACAGTTGAGGACTAATGAGCAAAAACTCAAGCATAGAGGTAACTTTATGTTTTTCAAAATATAGAAGGAAAGTATTTGCTTAGGACACAGAATATATGAGCATTCGTATCATCTAATGTTTAGAAAAATCTCGAGTAAGGCATGATAAGATGAACATTTCAAGGAACTCTAATCCTGTACTATACCAGGGGCAGATCCTCTGCAACAAGCAGACATTGCTATTGCAACAGAGCTGCTTTTAAGTGATTCAAATATATTAAAAGAATAAATAAATTTGGAAAATCAAGAGTTGGGTAGGCAATGATAGGGGGAGTATTATGAACAACCATCTCAGTCGTTGATCTTATGTCCTGAACTTTCAAATCCGGCTGCATTTGGTTTGGGAAGAGTCCTAAAAGATGCAAAAGTGAGGCGGACAAAATATTTAGTTAAGGTTCAGATACCAGGGGCACTTCAAGATCACACAAACTGCAATACCTTATTTTATTTTTCAGCCTAAAGAACATTTTCATTGTCATTATAAAGGCCAGAACGATCCTTTAGCAACAATATTTAAGTAACCAGAAATCCTCATACACAGATAGATAGTCACCCACTGGCCAGGAATGTGTCATCAGTCCTTTAACCTTAGACACAGATATAATAATATATGCACACATGACTGCCTACCTCGAATATTTCCTAGTCTACATGAAAGCAAAAGACAAACACAAGAATGTCCGGAAAAGAAATTTGTAACATTTTCACAAATGATCCATGAGAAAACTGATGAACTAATCAGAGAACTTGAGCATCTATATAACATCATTCTAGAACTATGTATTTCTAACACATAAGTGGCATCATGCATATGCATCTATAGACAAATCCCAATATTATGTATTTGTACGACTTCAACACCAATAGAAAGTTCAGCAACAACTACTAACTGCACGTATAGTATGCAGTACTAGACATGATTCAAAAATATAATAAACATGCTTTTAGCTTCCTTTCTTCATTGACACATCATCAGAGGACAGGAAGAAAATACATCTGTGATTGGAGAAAGACTCAAACTTCATGTACTAATCAGCCAAGAGGTGGATTGTGTCAAGTTGGTGTCAGTCCATTATGAAGACCTTTTGCTCCAGAATTTGAGAACAAAAACACTGAAAAAGCAAGAATACCGAAGAGAATACTTAGGGAAACCACATGAACTTTGCTCGAAACAAATTTATTTAGCCAGTCCTTCTCTTCATACAAACCACCATAGAAATCTTCAATGACAACATTTATCAAAGCATCTAGAAGCTTCTTTGAATGGTTCACATCACTTGAATTCATGACCTGAACTCTAGCATCTTTCAGATGTTGTATCACTATGTCCACCTCAATAGATTCCATGTTCTTCACATAGTTGACTTCAGGATTTACACATTTGTTTTTCGAGGCATTGTTAGCTATATGTTTATCATAAGTAATAGTAGATAACAAAGAGGACGGCGATGGAGTGAGATCAGTCAGAGCAACTGTTTCTGTTTTTGATGAAGGTGTAGCCACTGGATTTACAAGGAAGTTCTGAAAACAAAATAATGTACAAATAAAATTAAATTAAAAAAAAATCGTAAGCTTGAAAAGAAGTAAATTTAGCTTAAGGTATTTTTTCTCTCTAAACACTTGGATAACTTAATTTTTTCCCCCTTACATTTATATAAAAACTTCCAAAATATTTACATAATTCAAACTTCCACCAAGAATAAAAATCATTTAATATTAAACATACTTTTTAGCTCATGAGTAAATTTACTTCTAAGTAAAAATTTTAAGCTGAGCTAAACAAGGTCTAAATCTTTGAAACAGATGAAAATGTCAATTTAGTCAGCAAAGTGAAATTGAACTATAAATTACCTCAGCAGATTCATTGAACGGATTATGATCAGAAACTTCAGATACCGATTCAATCAATTCCTTAGGAAATTGAAAAGCCGAATGATCCTCTTCAGAAACTGCCTTAAAGACATGATTCAAGTTCTTTCGCGTGAACTGAACGAACAAATATTCCATCAGAAAATTCAGAGTATTGAATTGAACTATTAATTTATAAACAATTAGTTGTCAATCTATATCGCAAATACACACACATATATATATGTATAAATGTGTGCACAAATTAGGGTTTTCTGAGCTGAATTGTACCTTTTGAGGCTTCTTATTGAGATCGGAATTGGATTTTGATCGATAATTGGAAGGAATCTGTTCCCTCTGTGGTGTTTGTAGGTGAAAATCTCTCATTTTCGCTCTGTGTTATTAAGCGGGAAATTTTGAATATTTGATTGTTATTTCCAAAATTACTGTGATGAATTTATATAGAGGTTTTGGACTCCTCTTCCGGTGTCAATTGCTCCAATTTTGTCCAGTTAGAGTTAAAATCGGCTTCGGCTGTAAAGATGAGATGAAGCGTGCATCTATCCAAGCATATTTATGTAAAAAACGTGTCTCCAGTGGTATTATTTGCATCAGGTTAAATGCAATGCTGGTCACTCAACTTTAAACAAAGATGCATCCAAGTCTTCAATTTTCCATTTTGTACAGTCATATCACCCAACCTCAATTTACTATAAATCTAGCCATTCTATTCACGGTCATCATACCAATTAACTTTCTCCGCTAACCTAAATGTGAAAACTAACGGACGACCAATGTGAATATCTACATGACCACACAATACTCCTCACATATCCTATTAAAACAATTCTTTAAAGCGCATCAATTCAAAAACGGTTTTAATCATTCCTTTTCTTTCTCATTTTGCAGATGAAATTTTGAAGCCGACATCTATTTCATAGAGAAAAAATGAGGCAAACACAATTTTGAGTTCACGTGTGTAAATAAGGCAAACGTATCTCACTTTGAAAAATGACATTTTATTTTTTTAAAGAATGTATTTTCCTAAAGAATGTTTGGGCTAGGGGACTTTTGGACTGAACCGAACCGAAACCGAATCGAATCGAGCGGTTCT